AATGTATTTAAAAAAATAAAATTACAATTTCCTGGAAGGGTTCTACTTCTATCAATTCTGCAGGCACATAGTGGAGGAAGTGGGAATTTACTGTCAAGATACTGCTCTGAAGCTGAGGGAGGCACAGAACAGATGGTCAACACCACGATTGCATCCCAGCATCTTTGTGTGAGGCCAGACAGCTGCGGGGGGGCGATGAGATTGTTCAGCTTTACACAAGCTCAAGCACAAGGAGAGTTCTGAATGGGGTCAGCACCCTGAGACAGTCACACAGTCAAATTTAATATTACTGCATTAAACTATAAATAAGGAGCTACACAAATCTTCAAAAATCATAAATTTGAAATGAGTCACTAGATAGGGGTTATTACCTTAAATTATCTGCTTTGTATTCAGACAGTATATACAGTTTTATATTATCTGTTTCATATACTTTTCTATACAGCAGTGAACACCTAAGAGAATACTTGGGGGGGTTTTGGCCACTATATAAAGGACGAGGCTTTAGTATACTCAGGCTTTGATGCAGGCTTCTTTTTTCTTTAATAAGAAAAAAACATTGTTTTGAGAAGTTTTACATTTATGTTGAATAGGCTCAAAGGTGTTGTCATTTGTCATCAAAATAAGGAAGCAATCCACAACAAAACTACTTACAAACTATCTACAGCTACTTCAGGCACATCTTTCAGAGACACATTTTTCTGTTCCATTATTTGGACAATTTCACCTGTAGGAAAACATATGACATTTTACTTTCAACACAAAGCAAAATGCACATGCTGTGCCTCTGTTTAAGAGATCAATATCCCAACACCTGTATGTTCTCCAGCTACTGGAGAGTAAGTCACATTCTCCAATTCTTACTGAAGTCAGTTCCCTCTAGTAACTGAGAAGCCTGACACTTCCAGCCCTGAAGAAAAGGGTCTTCAGCTTGCTCCAAACTTTGCATAATGCTATCTGTTAGGTAAAGTTTGAAAGATGTTTCTACACTGCAGGGGGGGGAAAAGGAGGATACGTAGTTTGGACAAGAAGCCTAAAGACAAGAGCCATGCCAAAAAGCCCGTGGGGCCATGCATTTGGGATGTTATGAATAATTCCAGTGGAGGTTAAATAATGACCATAGACAAGCAAGACAATGATTTTAAACATGGATTTGCATAACTCTTACCTTTCTCAACAGGCTGACAAAAATAAATATTTTAATCTTGTTCTCGGGTTAATATCAACTTAGAAGGGAAGTATTTTTTGGTTTCCCTTCCCTATACAATGCCTATACTACCAGGAGCACAAAAATGCATACTTATTCTTAAAGCAGGAAAAAGCCAACCTTACAACTAAAGCAGACTTGAAAAAAGCAAAGTGTGACATAAAGGCTATTCTAACAATGGTGATTCACTTATGTCTTTATAAATAGTAAGTTTAAAGAAGATTTAACCTGATGTCAGAACACAATCAACTTCTTGTGAGTTATACAAGGCAGTGTAGAAATCTTCCCGCAAGGCTTCCAGTTTTTTGTCATAACAAGGCGCCACAATAACATGGAAAATTTTATCAGGAGACAAGTTCTGTGAAACATAGAAGAGAGCACAATGGAAACTCCATGAAGAGCAAAAGACAGCTTGCAGGACAGCAAGGATGAAAATAGGATAATAAACTCTCTGCAGGTGATACTAGCAATCAATCCCTAGCAATTAAATTTAAACATTGCCGCACACAGATGAAGTGACTCGCCAGAAGTCACAAAGCATCAGCAACAAACATCCAAAGTCAGTCTTCTGGCTGAAACTTTCACTTATTCCTTCAGGCCACATCTTCTGCAGCTTTTGATTGCATTAGGAAGTGAACGCAAGTCAGGACTTCAGAATTCTGTTTTCTAGCTGTCACTCATTCACTTTCACCCACAGCAAGTCCCCCGAGATTTCTCTATGTGGAAACAGCAATACTTTCCTATACAATGTGGATGCAGTTAGATTTAAGTAAGACACGTAAAAAGAATAGCAACTTTTTCAACATAGAGAATATAAAAAGGTTAGTTTCTAGGATACAATGCTGCTTTTGGTCCCAGGGCAATTTCTACATTATTCTCCTCTGCTTCTGCTTTGGCTATGCTATAGAACTACACAGGCAGCATTTAACAAGAATCTCTTTAGCTACCCTGGATTTAATTTCATCCATAAATATCTAAATCCATGTTGCACTGGGAGCACAAGGATTATTGCCAGCTTACACTCACACATGAAATGAGGTTCTTTGTAAATTCTAATGGGCACTTGTATAGCAGCAGAGCACCATTTATTCTTCAAGTAAGGACAAATAATTCAGGAAGATGTGTTATCTATTGCTTTATAATACACTGAGATCTATATTTCAGTATTAAAACCTACTAGCCCATCTTCATAGAAGAGTATAATGGTAAAAATAAATCAGAATGACTTACCTGCTGCCTGGCAAAGTAGCCCTTCACCAGAGAGCCCATGATCTGCTGTGGAGATTTTGCAGTGCAAATGTGAGAGGTCACAAGATTGGTAAGTACCCTTTCAGCGTACCGGATCCAGCCTGGAGTGACAGAAAGTGACAGCTAGATGGTAAATTGGCAGCAGGCATAGAACAGCTCTTACAAATGAGACACCTTCACAGCAGGTAGGACATTTCTGCGTAGGCTGGAAGCCCCATCTTGGGAACTGTAGGAAACCTCAGAGCTCCGTTAATAATGCTTTACAGTTGGCTATCAATAATTCACTGTGTTATTAATTTGAGACCTGGAAGCCACTGTGAACTTCTATTACACCCTTTCTAATGCACAGATAATCACAAAGCAGAAAGAACAGGGCTCCAGTTAACAAAAAGTTGACTTTCTAGACCTCAGCCCTTGGATCACCAGATACTACAACAAATGTACTCTGTTCAGCTGCTTAACTGTAACCTTCTGCTTCCTGAGATTTAATATCAGTGCACCCAGCTTGCCTCCTCTAGAACAGAAGTCACATGAAAGCATATTCACAAGATGTAGAAGATTAAGCCTGGGAAAAACCGTCTTATTTGACTATTGCTGGAGTAACCACACCTTCTTTAGAAACACCCTCCCCTCACAGTAATCAACTGAATCTCTCTGTATAACATTGTCTTAGTTACTCAAGAGTCCTCCTTCCTTCCACCAGACTCCTTCAGCATTTCAGCTATGACAGGCTATGTATATTCACACCATTTCCAATATCCAGAGCAGTTCTCTTATTCCACATCTTCCAGAACAGGAACTGACAAAGAAGCGGATTAAGATATTTAGGGTGTGCGAGTCTTCCTTAGGCACTGTAGCTTTTACTGAAAACAACAGTCCAGCATCTTTCACAGCAAGGATTCAGAAATTTTTGCTTCACTTACATGAACTGAGAACCAGACAGAAATGTTAGGCCCAGCCTTTCTAGGGAAGTGTGATGCTTTTGGTGCTAAGAAGTAGTGAAAAATATCACATTTTAGTCTTTCATCTTCCAAAAGATTGGTGTTTACATAAAAAAGAAATATTGCTGTGAAGTACATGCTGCCCAGGAAAGGTAAAACCTGAAGGTTAATTCTTAAGCTTGAAATTAAAACATTACCAGGTGTTTATACAAATCTGTCACTTGGAACACTGCCACAAAGGCCAACAACAGCACAAAACCAGAATCCAAGCGGTGCTCAGACAGTTTGTCTCTCTGGGGCAGAGAAGTGGTTCTCCCAGTGTCATAAAATTTTACTGATGAAAATTAGAAAGTACAATTATTAGGGAAATATGAGGGTCCTCCAGGAGTTTAAATCTTCTCAATTTTTGTTTAAGTACAGACTTCACGATTAACATATACTGGTCTCCATGGAAAATCTTAAAGACATACATGACCTTCAACAAGCATTCATTTCTGTTGTAGAAAAAGCTAAAGATTTACATATCTGGACTGTGCTCAATTGCTAGACCCTGAATAGGAAGTTTGTTTAATGTCCAACTCCAACTGGGACTTTAAGTCCAAAATATTATGTGCAACAAAGGACTTAACTTCTTGGTGCTTGGTAGAAAGGCCATATTAGCATATTCTGCATGATGTCTATATTCTATTTCTTAAATGGCTTTAGTCTCAAGTGCTGTTAAAAGTGAACAAAAACTGCTTCAAACAAAATTAAAGACAGTTTTTAAAAAACATTCTGCCTTGTATGTCAGCAGCATTTCTGGAAGGTCCTTCCCTTATACTGCGGCTATGATTACCACTAATCACCACACCACTCTACTATGAGGCGAGTTTTCAGAATTTGAACATTTTAGATATTGTAATCACAAACTGTAAGGAAATTTCACTAAATCCTAAGAGGCTTCTGGCAGCCCAAAGCAATTTCTTAAATTGTTTCTTTCCTTGCAGTAGGCAGAACAAGTGCCTAGTAGTTCCAGCTCCACAATGACCATTAGTCACTGGTTAATTATACCAGCAACCTTGGTGAATGAGCAACACGAGCATTTATCTGCACTTCACATACAGGCGAGCTGTTCCTGCCTACTCATCAGCAGGGCTGAGTTCCAGAGCCACAGCTACAGGAAGCCCAAGATACCCAGTTCTCCTATCAGTGTACATCTGGACCTGTACAGACCTATATCCTTCATAAACTCATTCAGATTCTCAGTCATTTGTTGGCTTGTGTTAGCATCAAAGAACAAGAAACCCCTACAGATCACTGTGTAAATTCTTGCAGATGTACTTCAGAACATGTTATTTTTAGTAGTTTATCATGAGTAGATCACAAAGATGCACGCTACAAATACCAACACATCAGTATAAAGTGCAGAAAAACTAAGAAAACTCTCACTACTGTAAAATCTCATTGCAGTAAAAAGAAAATGGTTTAGCTGACTGAGACAAAAGCAATTGAATCCTCAATAGTTATTCTCTTCTTCCTTATTCTGCCCTCTTGACCTGTTCTAAGAGTTCACAGAGGTTGGCAACGCATTAAAAATGCTGGCTGATTCCCAGAGCAAGTGCTTCATGTTGTTTACCAGTTTGGTATATTAAGGAAGAGAACTGACTACTTCTGAGATATTACATATACATACAATCAGCAGTTACACTGCTGTGCTTTCAATGGGAAACAACAACAAAATATTTATCTCACTTTCTTTTAAGAGAGCAGCAGGAAGAGGTAGGAACAATTAAGACAGAGAATTAAGACTAAAATGCTCCTTTATCAGGTTCTGGGACTACAGGGGCTACGCTCTTCTGCTCGTAGTAGATTTTACACTACAGACCACTCCTGCAGAGGGTGGTATTTCTGTGGAAAGTTACACCCAAAGATAAAGTAAAGTAGTTATACTTGATTTCACATTGACCTTATACCTACAGAGTTATGTAAAAAACATTGTGATAAACACACCCAGTAAACAACATTTCTGGAACAAATTTATGTTATCTAGGGTAGAGAGAGAAAGGAAAATGAGGAACAGAAAATGCACCCAGACAATTAAAGTCAGGAAACACAGTGAAAAACCTTACTTTAAAGATGACTGATCATGGTTTTTGTTTTTTTTCCCCTGTAACTGCTGTCAATGGGAATGAAATAACACATCCTTTCAGAATGGGTTTACAGTGACATTTCAGTTCAGTTTTACAGAAGTGGAAAGCATCCGTGCTTCTGCTAACACCTACACCACAGCAGATAGCTAACACCATAACTAGCACTGAAAATTGAAAATCTTCTGTAGAAGAGACAAGGAGAGAAGTGCTCCATTCACTATTTGAAGTACTTCCAATGAGACTGTCTGGTAATCTGAGCTCTGTTTCAAGATGAAGAAAATGAAAATTTTCCCAGAAGTTCCAAAATAAATCCTCAGGGTTTGAATTTTAAATAAACCATGTACACTAAGACAAAGATAAGTAATAGGGGGTTGTTTCAACTTCAAAAGTTGCACATGACAAAAAGCAACGTACAGTACGTCTGCTCCTGAAGATAGGAAATAACACCAAGAGTAACAGTGACAGAAGAAATAGAGACTTTTCCCCTTAATATATATATACATAGTTCCTAAAGCATAACCCAGATACTTCCACTACAGAATACAAACAAAATATATACAAAGTATAAAAATACATACAAAGTTATAAAAAGTATAATTCAAATAGCAGTACTTAATCAATGACAACAGCAGATTCTAGGGATCACCAAACACATCCTCTAACTCACTCTCTTGTATCTGTAACATTTCTTTGAAGAATGCAATCCACTTCAGTTATTTCAAAGCCAGAAATAAATATTTTTGTATTTTATTAGCCTTTTGAAAAGCAACACCATGAGCTTCCTAGGGTGTAGTTGAGGGGGGGATAGGTGAAGAACTTACTTTTTACCCCCTTTTTGATACTTCTTTTTTAGGAATGTGACTTATCATACTTAAATTAAAATGACAGTGTACTAACAAATGGAAAAAGTAAACAATGACTCAACGTCCTACATCTTTTCAGTTGTGTTAAGTGCAGGTTCTGTTCATAAGAAAACAAGTTCTCAGGTGCAAAATTTTCAGAAGTGAGACATTTAGTGAGTCAAGTCTATAACAATTCAAGTAGGAATTATTTTCTAAGTGTTAGACATAATAATCTCACCATGATTAAGAGTAATGTCACTTGCTACTTTGCCCTAGGCTCAAGTGGCAAGTTCAAAACTTTGCTTAAGATAATGGAGATTGTGGTTTAATTATATCAGTTAGCAAAGTTCCTTGAAGATTCTTTTCATTGAGGAATCACCATGTTAAATTTTGTGGTCTGGACATACAAGCAGCAGCTTGTGATTAATTTCTCCTAAGGTCTTACACAAAGCACTAAAAACCTCAGTGCTTCTGTACCTCAGTTGCATTATCCAGAGATTTACATGCAATACATGCTGCTTTTATAGAAGTGATGGGAAATATAAATGACCAAAATATACTACATATAAACACTAGCACAGGAAATGAGGAGTTCGGTTCTTTGTATTATCAGAGGCTGTGGACTAAAGCAAGGTTGGTTTTTTTTGAAGAGCAACAATACAATTCACACTCCTCAACTTTCACAGAGCTGCAACAGAAGACAACTGTAAGATGCAGGTAGGGAATTTATTGCAACTTTTTGTACCCGAGTGCCTAAGGCCCTACGCTGAATTAGCACATGCCTTATCCAGCACAGTCACACCCCTTCCTTGTCTGCATCATTCACATTTATGTGAACCCCACTCACACATGGGAAAGCTGATGATGCATCTTGGAAACAATCTCTGCTCTCCCAACAGCCCATGAAAAACAGGCCCATCTAGCAACACACTAAGGATGATCAGTGCTACTGCTAACCAGTACTTTGTGTGATACTGGGTATCCCTCAAAAGCAAAGACAAAATGCTCAAAGTTTTGTAGGGCTCCCAAATGAAACCACCCTTTCCTTAGTTCCTTGGTAGTTCCCATGAGACCAGGTGGAAGTACAGGAATGTTGGAGAAATCAGTTCTCACCAGGGCAAGCAGAGGCAAACATCGGTAAGGCATGCTCTTCCTGGTTCCTCCGTTGATACCGCTGCACAAATTCCCTCTGGCTCTCCAGGATACTGAAATCAGCAGCTATAGTGGTGTCAAATACATAATGCACCCCTGCGAAAGAAAGCAGTAACGGAACATTAATTACTAGAATGTTTTCCATCTCACAGGCTTCCTTCCAAGTTTGAGGTCTATAGAAAATCTTGGGAGGATTAACAGGTGTATATTCTTTCCTCTCTCCAAATTTTCACAAACAGTAGAGTCAAAAATAAAAGCCATACACTGAAAAGCTCCCTTCTATGTCATGAATGTAAAAGGACCACCAACTTGCTAATGTTTACTAGCAACACCTTAAACAGTTGTCTGCTTCCTGATGAGAAGCTTGTCATTCAGCATGTTTTTGCTTTTTCTTTAACTGAATGGGATTTGGCAGCTCCTGGGCCATATGCAACGATCTGGAAAAGGAGCTTTTTTTTCAGGACATGCTGAAGTCACATATTATCCACAAAAATATATCCAGCTGAGGCATATCTTCCACTGCTGAAGTTGTCTGCAAAGGTACACGAGCCTATCACTAACACAGCAGAGACCTTCTGTCTGCCTGTTTGGTAACACACTCCCTATACTTCTACGTAATATTGAGCACGTCCCTGCAGCAAGTGAGGCAAAGATAATTAACGCATTCTAGGAAAACTGGGGCCCACCAGAACTTAGAATTCCTTTCAGATTAAGAAAATATACTGGGTACAGAGATGCATAAAAAGTATGAAAAAGAAGAAAAAAGAAAAGTAAGGGAGGAAACAGTTTATAGGTTCATTACTGTCCTTTTCCTTCCTCCTTCAAGTACATTAAAAAACATCCCAAACCTATAGGCAAAGTGTTTTTTGTTTTTTAGATAAAACTTTGTCTATATAGTATAAAGAGCAAAGGAAATACAGATTTAACATAAAATAGGCAGATAAAACAGTTATTGCATGTAACTTCAAGTTACAGGGAAAAAAGGAGACTGAGACTCTTCTATGGGTACAATGTGTCAAAAGGACTGGAAGGCATCTAGGATAAGAATTCCCTCCCCCCTCAAATTACAAAACATGGGGAAAATCTTACTGAAGGTCATGAACAACATATCCTCCCTGATTTCTTTGTAGCAAAGCTTTTGAAGACAGCTCTATAATGTCCTTCTACTCTGTGGCCTTTACTATCAACATGGCAATGCCTCCAATCCATCTCTGAAACTGGTGTATGTCATACTGGTGCACTGCCATTAATACCATAGAGTCCAGACTTCAAACTTTAAACGAGACCGTGCAATGGCACTTTCTGACTGCATAACACACAATTCTGCTGAGGAAGCAAAAGCCTGAAGTAATCTCCCCTTTCTGCTCGACCATCATCACAAATCCAGACTTACCAAGACTTTTGAGGAAACCACAGAGTCTCTTGGCTGCATCATTCACAGAGAGATTGAATTTAGCAGCGAAATAAGGCAATGACTGAGGGCACATAGACACTGCCAACACTTTGTGTTTTGAGGTATCGCATTTCTAGTAAACAAAACAGAGAAAACAAGGTCTGTAATTACAACAGGGTAAGGCTCCCGACGTTCCCTCCCTTCTTCACTCCTGGAGTTATTCCTCAGCAACCTATGCTTCAAGTGGGCCACATCATTAAATCCCCTATGAAACAAATATCAAGTGTCTTGAGGGCAGGACATGATCTTTCTCTGATCCTTTCACTGTTCATCTCTAATCATCTGTAGATGTTTCTCAGGGAAATCCATCCCTCTTCAGGCAATGCTGTGCCTGGTCTCCTAATGCCATAAGAAAGGTTAAGAGACATTCAGCACCTGTAACATTCAAGCAGTGTGAAACATTCTAGCAGGTATGAAAAAAAGCTGTATGTCTAAACATAAATAAATAGATAAACTAATGTTTACAGGAGCATGGGCATTTGAAGTTACAAATCCAACCCAGCAAATTACAGATCTGATCCTTTGTTAAGGCTCCCGTGTCTCTATCACTTAAGTTGCTGAGGGAAATTGCCAAGATAGGACCCTCAACAAACCAGTGTTTGTAGGCACTGAAGAACCCTCTGAAAATACCTAAGGTGGTGTGCAACTGTACAGTTCTGATGACTGTGACATTTATTTGAAGATGAATCTTGTGGCTTAGTTGGGACTTTTTCCAAACCAGTGGAACCCTTGGAAGACAAACCAGGACTATGCCGCAGACAAGTCTCACCCTAAGTTAACACTTACATACCCTAAACGCTGTGTAACAATCCTTCAAGTAGAGCTTGTGACTGCCTGGAAAGTATCTCTCTTGCTCACTGTCCTCTTTTTGACCACTGAAGTTTTGATCAAGGTCCTGGACTGCCTCCCTATTGCAGACCTAAGGCTCTCTTAATAGGACCCAGGTGACCCCAAAGATTTTCCCACCACCCTCTCTTCTCTTTTTTTTTTCCATGTACAACAACATCAGACTGTATGGAGAGTTCAACCAGTTCTACAAAAAACAAATCATTATGTAATGAATCCTCTTATTTATGACACTCATGTACTGATTAAGAAAAAGCATCAATTCTGGCAGCTTTTGCATACCAAGCAAGGACACAGTTCTGGAGCAGAACTAAAATAATTAATTCAGTACAGCAATCTAAAGATCTGAGCACCATATATAGCAAATAGCTTCCAGGAAATTCAGATCTCGGCAGAAAATAAGACAACAGCAGAATGCTTTTAGAAGTTTTGCTAAGAATTTGGATGAAAAATTCTGTTCCAAATACAGTCTGCTCGAATATATATTAAAACCAATTCTACTTTCAAAAACTTGCCTTGATGACATCATATTATGTGGATGCATTGACACCACAAACACTCAGAACAGTCCTAGTAACAAAGGTATGAGTATTTATAAACACCAAACCACAAACTGATTTGTTATTACAGTAATGAGGTAGTTATATTTTTCAAAAAATGTTACTTTTGCAGGTGCAGTACCTTTCCTCCAGCACTGAGGTTAAGTGCTGTGATCGTGCACCTCTAGTACAAAATTATTTTAAGTATTTTAATGTTCATCTTGCCTGAAGTTTTCACTTCCTCTTTGGAAAAGTATATCCTGACAAATCTTCACATTATCTGCCTTGGGAAACCAAGCTGCTTAGTCATTCTGTAATTTCCTCCTCCTCACAGAAAAGAGCGTGTTTGTTATTGTTTGTATCACCTTACCTTATTAAGGTTAAGAATACGAAAGAGCTCCTTCTGATTCTGTTGGAAAATTCTGACTCCTTCTTCTGAAGTCATACAATTGTCACAAGCTAGGCAGTCGCTAAGGAGTATTTTAGCATCAGCCAACGTATGAAACTCATTTTTCTGGAGGGGGAGGGAAAAAAGTAAACAAGTATTTAATAACGATTGACCAATTTTCAAGACCTCTGCAATAAGCCAGCTGAGGAGCAAACATGCTGTTGCTGTTTTGTTTAAAACAAAAAAAAAATCCATGAGACTTGCATGACATCCAAGATTATTTAGAAGTAATCAGAGTTATTTGTTCCATCATTCTCTATGGCTCTGTTGCTATTATTACTCTGAAACTATAAAATGTTTAAGCATAAACATAGAATTAAATTTAACCCTCTAGTCCATGTTCTAGTAACTTGATTTGCATTGTATTTCAGAGCTGACAGTCCCCATCAACTCACCAAGCAACTGAAAAAACTTTTACTTGAACTATTAAACCTCTTTAACAGCCAGATGCCTGTCTAACAGCAAGATGGCTTTGGTTTTTTAGCATGAAGTCAAACAAACAGAATGCAGTCCCACAATTACATTGACCATATACTGTAAGATCAGGTTTCAGGCTTCTGGCTACAATACTATTGGCAGCTCACCTGTAGGAAGAGGGAATACTTGGATAGAAGGTGCAATGTAACCAGACTACTTGCAAAAAACCTGAACAAAACCCCCTCAATTCAGAACTAATTTCCAGGGAAACTATTATCTGTTGAAGCACAGTGTGATCTGTAAGTTTGTCTGATATAAAAAATAAGAAAACATTTTGTGCACTTGTACTGTCAAAACCCCTCTATTCTTCTTCCAAGCTGTCTCTGTTTTGAAAACTTGATGTAAGATTTTTAACACTCAAATTTTTTAGGACTTCAATTTCTGTTTTGTGTTTGCATAGAAATGAGGTTTTTTTATTTAATCTTTTTTAAAGATTCTCAGTTCTCATTGTCATGAGCTGTCAGAAGTGCTCATAACTGCTTACAACTGCTTGTTGATTAGTGTTCTATTTAGTACTTGAAAGTTCTCTACTTATAACCTCTTTTGGGGTACACAGCAAAAAAAGAACACAAATAAGACTGGATTACAATTTTTAGCAGGAACATTACCTCTTCAAATCCATCATGTGAACTCAGTGCATCAACAGATGTACTTTGCGTATCATCGTTTTTCTGTTTTTTGCTGCATTCCTGAAATGAAACATAAAATATATGTATTACGCAAAACACAATCACCGTTCAGTAAGAACATCTTCACAGAACTGTTTATATCGTTAAACAGGATAGCATTAAAAACTAACCTAGTTCTTTCACAGTTTCTGGCAGCGTTAGATGTATATCTACACACAACGCTTTGTTTGCAAAGTGCATTTGCTACGGTGGAAATAATTCCTCGGAAATCCACTTGCTCCATCAGTTGTACAGCTCTGAGCGGTTTTGGTTTGTGGGTTTTTTTTTATCCCGAGGGGATGATCACACCGAGCACGGAAGCAGCTCTGGGCACATACGTGACGGCTCCGAGCGGGGCCAACAGCCGCGGCCCGGCGATAACGCCGCTCGGTCCCTTCCCGGGAGCTCCCGCCCCCCCCGCGCGATCACCGCGGATGGGGAAACGGGT